AACTCCAAGCATCCCTTCTCCTTTGCGTGCTTTAGGCGGTCCAGGCACCTTTTACCGTGACCCCCTTGCCGACTGGCCGGCAGGCCTGGTTCGCCGCTCCCGTGAGCCCTGCGGAAGCGTTAAGGGACCGCGTGCTGAAGCCTTGACGTTTTCCACGTGACGGTGCCATCCGGGCAGCCTTTAGCAACGGCCGAGGGGTTGCCGTGAGTTGGGGATGTCGGGAGGAGGAGCGAGGGCCCGCTCGAGTTTCGGCAGTGACAGATCACCTTGTCTCCTCCTAACGCAGGCGTGCCCCGCGATGATGGCATCTGGCTCCGGGCGAGGCCGAAGCGTGCGGCCCTGGGATGCGGGCGTTCTCGAGAGACCGTGAGTAGCAGACTTGTCAGGGTTTGCCCGATGTTCTGCTAAGATCCTGGGATGATGTTCTGTTCTTTTTCGTGTAGCTCATCAAGAGACAGCAGCATGGTGACGGCAGGAACTGGGCAGACGACGAGACGGCATTCCTTGGCAGCCCGTGTGGACTCTCACCCCCCGGGCATCCGAGAGCTAACTCAAAGGCTACGATCCGCAGAGGGGGGATGGAAGCGGGGTGCCGGGCTGGGACTCGTGGCCAGGAAGTTTTGAGTCTGCTTTGGACGTAGCGAGGTTCAAGAAGTGGCCCTTTAGGCCGCCTCAAGGGAAAGCCTCACTTTGGCTCCCAATGCTGAGGTGCACAGGGCAGAGCGGTCCGGGGATGTGTCGGGTCACTTGTCTGTCGTGCCTTTTGTGCACCTCGTGTCGTATGTTTGTTGCCTTAGCCCTTCCAGGAGGTTACAGGAAACCCTGGCGTCACTCTTAACATCTCTGATCTCTGGGTTCCTCGGCCAGGCGCAGACACTGTCAGAGCTGTGCCTCGGGACCTCTCAGAGGCCTTGGAATCCCATCTCTGTTTTTAAGCGTCCGATCGGGTGTCTTTTGAGGTCTTGTTCTGAGCTGTGGCCACAGCCGTGCGCCGCAAGGATCCATTGTAGCGGGCTAGGACTTGTCCGAATGCAAGGACAGACAGAGAATTGTGGCCGTAGGATTCTCGGGCATCCGTATTTGCGCTTCTCGGGATAAGTCATCGTGTCAGCATCTTCTTTCTTCAGGGTTGTCTCAGCCTTATCAGCTCGCCATCATTCTCACCTGGGTCATCTTGTTCCGCATTCTCTGGGTCCTTGCGGCCATTCTTCTGGCCCGGAGTTTTGTCTCCCTGTTGTGTCCCCTTGTCTGTTGTCTTGTGTGTCACGGGTGTCTGGGTGTATTTGGGTCGGAGCTGCTCTGCCCTGCTGCAGAGGCTGGCTGTAGGTGTAAATGGACAAATCCTGGGTAGCTGTAATTAGGGATTTGTAATTAGAGATCTGTAATGTAGAATGCAGTTGGAGTCTAGATAGTATGCCTAGATTGACAGAAGATGTCAGGAGCTGTGAAGTTATCCTGCAGCACTTTGAGTTGTGTCTTTGCTTTCTTTCAGATGCGGATGGATGAAATCCGTGGCAGAGGGCCCCATCCAGGGTAAGGGTGTTCCCGCGAGAAGGTAAGTCACGGTTTGTCTTTGCAGGGGACCTGGAACCGGTCACTGTGTGACAGCTCTGTTCTTTGTTGTTATTTTTAGGATGTAAAGCCAGCTATCCACGGTCAGGGCGAAGTCGGCAAGGTGAGCAGTGAGGGGTGGAGAGAAGCGGTTGTTATTGCTGAGGTCTCAGTTTCAGCTGCAACTCCAAGCATCCCTTCTCCTTTGCGTGCTTTAGGCGGTCCAGGCACCTTTTACCGAGACCCCCTCGCCGACTGGCCGGCAGGCCTGGTTCGCCGCTCCCGTGAGCCCTGCGGAAGCGTTAAGGGACCGCGTGCTGAAGCCTTGGTGTTTTCCACGTGACGGTGCCATCCGGGCAGCTTTTAGCAACAGCCGAGGGGTTGCCGTGAGTTGGGGATGTCGGAAGGAGGAGCGAGGGCCCGCTCGAGTTTCGGCAGTGACAGATCAACTTGTCTCCTCCTAACGCAGGCGTGCCCCGCGATGATGGCATCTGGCTCCGGGCGTGGCCGAAGCGTGCGGCCCTGGGATGCGGGCGTTCTCGAGAGACCGTGAGTAGCAGACTTGTCAGGGTTTGCCCGATGTTCTGCTAAGATCCTGGGATGACGTTCTGTTCTTTTTCGTGTAGCTCATCAAGAGACAGCAGCATGGTGACGGCAGGAACTGGGCAGACGACGAGACGGCATTCCTTGGCAGCCCGTGTGGACTCTCACCCCCCGGGCGTCCGAGAGCTAACTCAAAGGCTACGATCCGCAGAGGGGGGATGGAAGCGGGGTGCCGGGCTGGGACTCGTGGCCAGGAAGTTTTGAGTCAGCTTTGGATGAAGCGAGGTTCAAGAAGTGGCCCTTTAGGCCACCTCAAGGGAAAGCCTCACTTTGGCTCCCAATGCCGAGGTGCACAGGGCAGAGCGGTCCGGGGATGTGTCGGGTCACTTGTCTGTCGTGCCTTTTGTGCACCTCGTGTCGTATGTGTCTTGCCTTAGCCCTTCCAGGACGTTACAGGAAACCCTGGCGTCACTCTTAACATCTCTGATCTCTTGGCTCCTCGGCCTGGCGCTGACACTGTCAGAGCTGTGCCTCGGGACCTCTCAGAGGCCTTGGAATCCCATCTCTGTTTTTAAGCGTCCGATCGGGTGTCTTTAGAGGTCTTGTTCTGAGCTGTGTCCACAGCCGTGCGCCGCAAGGATCCATTGTAGCGGGCTAGGACTTGTCCGAATGCAAGGACAGGTAGAGAATTGTGGCCGTAGGATTCTCGGCCATCCGTATTTGCGCTTCTCGGGATAAGTCATCGTGTCAGCATCTTCTTTCTTCAGGGCTGCCTCGGCCTTATCAGCTCGCCATCATTCTCACCTGGGTCATCTTGTGCCGCATTCTCTCGGTCCTTGCGGCCATTCTTCTGGCCCGGAGTTTTGTCTCCCTGTTGTGTCCCCTGGTCTGTTGTCTTGTGTGTCACGGGTGTCTGGGTGTATTTGGGTCGGAGCTGCTCTGCCCTGCTGCAGAGGCTGGCCTATGGTCAGCTGCCATGGGAGAGGCTTCATATTAAACCAACTGCTGAATGATTTAATTAGTCTGGTACCTACGGCTTCTGATCATTTGCTTTGTACAAATGCATTTCAACAGTTTGCTGTGCTGTAAGCATCTCATAGCTGCTACTCTTGAGAACCTTGTTTTAGAAATTAGTTAAAAGGCATCTTTCCAGTTTAAAGCCTAGGCTCTGTCCAAGCCTTGACTTTACCTGGATAGAGAATTTACCAATAAACCCAGAAGTTTTCTGCATCGAAACAATATTCAGGTCAATCTGACTTGGCAATTAGTGAATTAATATAGCAGCTGGATTTTACAGTGGGCTTGGAAAATTGTTATCCGGACATGATTTTCCAATCTTCCATTGTTTTATCAGCTGTGGCAAACTCTGGGATGGGTGTGTATATTTAGAATATTCAGTAATTCATATTACAGATAATTTAGATAAGTTTAGTATTGCATAATATCAATTATGCATCTTTTTAATAAGTTTTTGATTTCTGTAAAAATTTTATTTCCTATATGTATACATATGCATGTGTTTTACTTTGATGGTTTTTCATTGTCAGAACAAGACAGTGGATATTTTACCTTTGTTTACAAGAGAGGGGGAGGAAACAGAGGTTGCACTTCAGAAGCATGGAAACATGATGTACGTATTTTAGATTTTGGAAAAAATGCAAAGATTGTATATCTATTACAAATAATTCTTGAAGAGTCCTTTTTAAACAAGTCTGTTACAAAGCAAATTATCAAGTACTGTTCTAACAGTAGTCAAGCAAAGTTGAGAGAGAATTCTTTGATTCTGGTCAAATGTTCAGAAGCAAGATGAAAAATTCATTTCAGTTGATAATTTGGAGTAAAGTCTATGTTTGTGTATTCACAGGTTCAAAACAGAAGTAACTTCCTAGCGAAGAACATGGAAACTCGTGAGCTGCAAAGACAAACAGACAGGCCAAAGAGCAGAAGAGCGAGCACGCAGATGTGAACCGTATTGAGACCACAGTTGACAGCTGAACAACTTTGATCCCACATGCCAGAGCAATGAACTTTGTGTTTCATGTGAAAGAGTGGGAAAATTGATATTGTAAAACCTCACTTGTTAAATAAAGCATGGTGTGAACTGTGTCAAGATTCAGAATCCTGCATGAGAGATAAAGTCCTGAAGATGAAGGTGAATCAGGTATCACCCTTGAGCTGTATCATTTTGTTGATCACTTTGTGATGTGATGTCACCTGCATCACTTCTTTTAGTTAACTCAAAAGAAAGCATACCTTATCTCAGTGAAAATAGTTTTCTGTATAATATTCAATTTTTCTTTTTATTTATCATGCTCTATATAAAGAGGCAACATCTTAGTGTAACCTTATATCAATTTTAGTCACACCTGATTGTGAAGAGTTTGACTCATGAAATTTCAGATAGAGATTTATAACAACTCAGCTTTCAATTCAAGTAGCTTCAGCAGAAACTTTAAAGCAATTAGACAAGCTACTGGTTAAGTAAGCAACCTAGATCTATTTCTCTAGCTTTGAGTGGTTAGTTAACTGATGTTCAAAACTGGAGGCAGAGTGCTCTGTAGAGCAGAGCAGCAGTTCTGTTGTTGGTGCGTAGGGCATGAGTGAAGGAAAAATAACCCTTCGCGAAAATTAATCAAAGAAAAGGTTTGGGTTGATATTTTTCTTTTTTTTCAAATAGAGGAGCAAATGTTGGAGTCTGGAATACAGAGTGCGTGCCCTTGTTTCTGATACTTAGTTATAAGATCCAGAAAAACACTGAATTTCATATTATATGAAATTCATGAGCACGTTTTCATGGTGATACATGAAAACAAACATTAAAGTTAGATAGAAAAAGCTAAAAGTGTAAGTGTGTAGATTAGAAAGTTTTTTTAAATCACTGGGTGAAAAAGTTAGTTTAGAGAACAGGAGACAAGATGGAGGATTTACAGTGTTGTCTCTTGTCCCTTCTTTCTTCATGTTCTTCTCCTGGAGGTTTTTGGGTAATAGTAAGTGATTGGATAGAGAATGCCGTAGTGCATCACAGAGGAGATGGGTCATTGGGTCAGTAAGAAAAATAATATATGTGTCTATTGTTAATTGGGTAAAAATAGGTATAAAGATGAAAGAACTGCGTATTTCAGGGCCATTCTGTGCATCAGACACCGAGTGTGCCGCAAGGCCTTGTTTGTACCGTCAGAAAAAAGAAATGTACCAGATTGCAAAGATTAACCTTGTGCAGCCAGCCTGGACAGACCTGTCAAGTTCTGTGATGACCTTTTAAGAAACACGAGAAACAAGATTCTAACAAGCTTGGGCGTTTTCTTCAAATCATGCCGCCCCGCATCCAGCCCCGTCCGCATCCGGGAATGTCCCATGATGCTCCGCGGCGGGACTACACCTCCCAGCGGCCCTCGCGGCTCCGTGCACGCGGAGCGGGCGCGGGGCCTCCGCCATCTTTGCTGCGGTCCGTGAGCGGCGTGAGAGAAGTGGGGGTGGGTCCGGTGGCTCTTAAAGTGGGCACGGCCCGGGGTGGGGCCCTCTCGGCGCGGAATGGAGTGCGGACCGGCAGAGGAGGTTCGCGGATGGCAGGGTGCACGCGGAGAGGGTGGTGGGAGCGCGATGGAGTGGCGGACGTTCCCCGTCTCGCCAGTCGCCGTTCTTCTGCCGCCTCATCCGCTTTAAGGCCCGGCGGCGGGAACGGGCAGGGGTGGACGGAGGGG